GGCATAATTAACAATAGATTGAACTTAGATTATTTCTAACTCATTAAAAAAGTGTTCAAATAACAAATATGATTGTATCAATATTATAAAGTAGTAGAATTAGATTTAAAGATCGTTTCAAGTTTTACTCTCATCATCTCCATCTTGCTACGATAATCTTAGATGAGGTTTCAAATTGTGTTCAAAAATGAATTAAAAACAAAAAGAGTTATCTCAAAACGGATTTTATTATTATTTACACGATGATAAATCGATTTTTCACGAATTTTTAAAGTTAATGTTGGACAACCCAAAAGTTACCAGGAATTACGATTGTTTTCAAAAATTTATATATCAAAAACAATAAGAGTTATCTCAAAACGGACTTTATCATTAAAAAGAAGATGCTTTAATTGATAGTTGAGGTAAGTTTTATAATGATATTCCAACAAATCGATTTTTCACGAATTTTTAACGTTTATTCTATAAAGAATAAAAGATTAGAAATTACGATTGTGTTCAAAAATTAATATCTTAAAAGGAGAAAGAGTTATCTTAAAACGGACTTTATCATTGAAAAGAAGACTCTTTAATTGATAATTGAGATAAGTTTCACGATGATATTCCTACAAATCGATTTTTCACGAATTGTTAAAGTTCATTCTATAAAAAATAAAAGATTAGAAATTACGATTGTGTTCAAAAATTAATATCTCAAAAGCAAAAAGAGTTATCTTAAAACGGACTTTATCATTGAAAAGAGGACTCTTTAATTGATAATTGAGATAACTTTCATGATGATATTCCAACGAATTGATTTTTGACGAATTTTTAAAGTTCGTTCTAGAAAACAAAGATATGCAAATACGATTGTGTTCAAAAATTTATATCTCAAAAACAAAAAGAGTTATCTCAAAACGGAGACTATCACTGAAAAGAAGATGGTTTAATTGATAATTGAGATAAGTTTCATAGTGATATTCCAACAAATCGATTTTTCACGAATTTTTAAAGGTAATTGTGGTAAATATGAAAATTGCCAGAAATTACGATTGTGTTCAAAAATTTATATCTCAAAGGGAAAAAGGGTTATCTCAAAACGGACATTACCATTGAAAAGAAGATGCTTTAATTGATAACTGAGATAAGTTTCATGATGATATTCCAAAGAATCGATTTTTCACGAATTTTTAAAGTTAATTCTAGAAAACATGCAAGTTACAAAAAATTACGATTATATTCAAACATTTATATCTCAAAGGCAAAAAGAGTTATCTCAAAACGTACACTGGCATTGAAAAGAAGATATTTTAATTGACAACTGAAGAAAGTTTCAAGATGACACTCCAACAAATCGATTTTTCAGAAATTTTTAAAGCTACTCTCGCAAAAACTCAAAAGTTACCAGAGAATTCGATTTTGTTCAAAATCGTATATCTCAAAAACAAAAAGAGTTATCTCAAAATGGACAATATCATTGAAAAGATGATGCTTTAATTGATAATTGAGATAAGTTTCATGATGGTATTCCATCAAATAGATTTTTCACGAATTTTTAAAGTTAATCTAAGAAAACATGAAAGTTATCAGAAATTACGATTGTGATCAAAAATGTATATCTCAAAAACAAAACGAGTTATTTCAAAATGGACATTATCATTAAAAAGAAGATACTTTTATTGATGATTGAGAAAGTTTTATGATGATATTCCAACAAATCGACTTTCAGAAATTACGATTGTATTTAAACATTTATATCTCAAAAATAAAAAGGGTTATCTCAATACGGACATTATCATTAAAAAGAAAATGCTTTAATTGATAGCTGAGATAAGTTTAATGATGATATTCCAACAAATCGATTTTTCACGAATTTTTAAAGTTCATCTAAGAAAACATGAAAGTTATCAGAAATTACTATTATCTTCAAAAATGTATATCTCAAAAACAAAAAGATTTATCTCAAAATGGACAATATCATTGAAAAGATGATGCTTTAATTGATAATTGAGATAAGTTTCATGATGATATTCCATCAAACAGATTTTTCACAAATTTTTAAAGTTAATCTAAGAAAACATTAAAGTTATCAAAAATTACGATTGCGATCAAAAATGTATATCTCAAAAACAAAACGAGTTATCTCAAAATGGATATTATCATTAAAAAGAAGATACTTTTATTGATGATTGAGAAAGTTTTATGATGATATTCCAACAAATCGATTTTCAGAAATTACGATTGTATTCAAACATTTATATCTCAAAAATAAAAAGGGTTATCTCAAAACGGACATTATCATTAAAAAGAAAATGCTTTAATTGATAGCTGAGATAAGTTTAATGATGATATTCCAACAAATCGATTTTTCACGAATTTTTAAAGTTTATTGTAGAAGCCATAAAAGATATGAAATTACGATTATCTTCAAAAATGTATATCTCAAAAACAAAAAGAGTTATCTCAAAATGGACAATATCATTGAAAAGATGATACTTTAATTGATAATTGAGATAAGTTTCATGATGATATTCCATCAAACAGATTTTTCACGAATTTTTAAAGTTGATCTAAGAAAACATTGAAGTTATCAGAAATTACGATTGTGATCAAAAATGTATATCTCAAAAACAAAAAGAGTTATCTCAAAACGGACAATATCATTGAAAAGATGATGCTTTGATTGATAATTGAGATAACTTGCATGATGATATTCCATCAAATAGATTTTTCACAAATTTTTAAAGTTTATTGTAGAGCCTATATGAAATTAAGATTATGTACAAAAATTTATATCTCAAAAACAAAAAGAGTTATCTCAAAATGGACAATATCATTGAAAAAATGATACTTTAATTTTTAAAGTTAATCCTAGAAAACATGCAAGTTCCAAAAAATTACAATTATGTTCAAAAATTTATATCACAAAGGCAAAAAGAGTTGTCCCAAAACGGACAATGGTATTGAAAAGAAGATACTTTAATTGACAACTGAGGAAAGTTTTAAGATGACATTCCAACAAATCGATTTTTCAGAAATTTTTAAAGCTACTCTTGCAAAAACTCAAAGGTTACCAGAAAATTCGATTTTGTTCAAAATCGTATATCTCAAAAAAAAAAGGGATTATTTGAAAACGGACATTACCATTGAAAAGAAGATGCCTATATTGATAACAGAGGTAAATTTCATAATGATATTCTAACAAATTGATTTTTCACGAATTTTTAAAGTTTATTGTAGAAGCCATAAAAGATATGAAATTACGATTATGTTGAAAAAATTATATCTCAGAAACAAAAAGTATTATCTCAAAATGGACAATATCATTGAAAAGATGATACTTTAATTGATAATTGAGATAAGTTTCATGATGATATTGACACAAATAGATTTTTTACAAATTTTTAAACTTAATTCTAGAAAACATGCAGGTTCCAAAAAATTACAATTATGTTCAAAAATTTATATCACAAAGGCAAAAAGAGTTGTCTCAAAACAGACATTGGTATTGAAAAGAAGATACCTACGATTTTACAGAAATTTTTAAAGCTACTCTGGCATAAACTTAAAAGTTATCAGAGAATTCGATTTTGTTCAAAATCGTATATCTCAAAAACAAAAGGAGTTATCTCAAAACGGATGCCTATATTGATAACAGAGGTAAATTTCAAATTTTTTAAGTTAATCCTAGAAATCATAAAAGTTACAAAAAATGTATATCTCATAAGTGAAAAGAGCGATCTCATTAGGACTTAATTTTATGAAGCTTTAAGAATTATGACAACTTGATTCAGAGATACCAACAACGTATTAATCCTTATTTATGATAAAGACCAAAAAATCGAATTTGATAGAATCACCCGGTATATCCACACATTCTCTAATAATATTCGCTCCTAATCGTTATCGTTTGACGTAGATTTTGTAGACAGCGTGACGTTAAGCTTTGTTTCCGCGTCGTCGCCGTTTTCTAAATCAAGTCCCGGTTCAAAAGTACAAGTTTAGTTCGGTCGCGGGGGCAAATCTTAGGTAGTTACACGTCCCTTTTTCGTTACTGGTAGCGATCGGCGAAAGGTTGGCACCGAGCCAAACGGGATTCTCGGGTCAAACACGCGCCCGAGCGAGATCGCGTAAATAATGGGCACTAAATGGTCCTTTACCCATCTATGCCAAAAATTCGTCTGATCGCTATTCTTTTGCCACCGGTAAATTTCCTTATTGCAAAACCTATTGCCAAAAAGCGTGCTGTATTATTGCGAAAGTTAATTTGTATGATAAGTGATGCTCGCAGATGTTAAATAATAATTTTCTTGGTGTCTAAAATTATCTGGAAATGATGTCATGCGAGATTTGGGTACTTTTTTGGTTCTTTTTTTAATGCGATATTATTATGGAAATTGTGGGAATGCACAACCGGAATTTGAAATGCACATCCGCACCTGTGTCCCCCTCAACCTTTTCGAAACGATGACAATTGATGTAATTTAGAGTCTCGGTAGCGTGATGTGGTAACGATCACGTTCAAACGATGCGATTATTTCCCAGAAATTGCATCAGCCGGTAACATAAATCGAAAATAGAAGCGGTTCCTAATGTCAAAATTAGCAACAAAATTGGCGCACAAGGACAATCTATCTTTATCTTTCTCTCTCATTTTTCATTTGGTAGTCAAATTAACACCTACTTAATATTTTTATTCAAATTTTTCTAATTCTTTTTGTTACTATTAAACGTTGTCTAAATCTCGTTGTTTAAATACTTCTTTAAAAAAGTATATATAAGATCATTTATTTTTATGGTTTATGTGAAGCAATCAAGTTAAAGCTTGCAAAGAAGACCCGTTAAAAATAAACAATTGCGTAACTGTGCGTACGGAAAACCAAACAAAAGAAACTCTATCTTCACTTGTTTTTCGTACCAAATACTTTGGTCACTTAATGTACAGAATCAATCAAAAGTAATAAAAGTTAGCAATTTTTTTTACATCCACAAAACCAACCAAAAAAACTATAAAAACTTACTTTTGTTGTTATTGTTTTCGATCGAACGCGTCGAGATGTCTGAGCACAACTGACAGCAGAAAACCGAGTCGGTGGCCAGCTGATCGGGCAGCCCAGGGCAGGAGGGAGGAGGTGCCCCGCAAAAGTGGGGGCAGCACTGCTGACGGTATATCGCCGCGCATCAGCTGTTTTAACCAGCTGGAAGAGAAACGTAACGAATGCGCAAGCGTTTCACGACCTCCTCCGCTTTTCATCCTTTGTTTAATATATCGACTAACGTGATTCTCGACGCGAAAACTTTGTTATACAGAGAGATCGAAAATGATTAACTAGACAAAAAGGTTCTATGTGCACTTTTTATCGGTGTTTGTTTCTATTTACACAGTTTTTTGCGATGTCATAGTCAGCATCAGATTTATTTATAAACTATGACAGCAATCGATGTAATTAAGCTAGAGAAGGGTTGATATCAACCATGAAAGTAAATAAAGAATTTTCCATTACACTATATCATACAGGCTAATATATGCACATTTATATTGAACGGAAACGTTATTATATTTTCTCACTGAAGCATAATCGGAGTTATTCTAGAACATGGGAAACCAGAACTATTCTAGTAGTAATCTATATGGCCCATCAAATAATACAATAAATCATTGAGCGCTAACCTAATGTGTTCTATTGTATCCTATCAATATTATAAAATCAATAAAATAATGCTCAATCCATGTAACTTCATTAAAAGAAATAATTTCAAGAAGAAATTTGACATTGACTTATAAAACTTCATCGAATCTTGGCGAAATTTAAGAATACCGCTGAAATTTCAATTTTTATTCGTGATGATTAAATCAATTTGAGAAACTTCGCCAAACCCAAGGAATATCATAATCTGGCCAATAAAAATCATAATGGGGCTTGAACCATTGCTATAACCAAAAGCATTTATCAACCATCTGGCAAATATCTTCAGACCACATAATGGAGCAAGCACTGATCTTTCAACGAGCATCAAGACAGACACTGAGAACATCGACTTAGTATCACCACGTGAAATTCACACCAACTTGACTCCTACGATGGCTCCTAGATATAATCCCATTACAGGCAAAATATTCAAACATGTACCAAATTGCTGGAAAGTATCAGAAATCATCATCCTGCAGTAACCTAATGGTATAAAGTCGTGTATCATTGCTTCCTATCANCTAACCTAATGTGTTCTATTGTATCCTATCAATATTATAAAATCAATAAAATAATGCTCAATCCATGTAACTTCATTAAAAGAAATAATTTCAAGAAGAAATTTGACATTGACTTATAAAACTTCATCGAATCTTGGCGAAATTTAAGAATACCGCCGAAATTTCAATATTTATTCGTAATGATTACATCAATTTGAAAAACTTCACCAAACCCAAGGAATATCATAATTTGGCCAATAAAAATCATAATAAGGCTTGAACCATAGAACCTTTGCTATAACCAAAAGCATTTATCAACCATCTGGCAGATATCTTTAGATCACATAATGGAGCAAACACTGATCTGAGCATCAAAACAGACACTGAGAACATCGACTTAGTATCACCACGTGAAGTGACAAGCGAAATTCGCACCAACTTGAATCGTAAGATGGCTCCTAGATATGATCTTATCACAGGCAAAATATTTAAACTTTTACCAGATTGCTCGAAAGTAGCAGAAGTCATCATGCTGCAGAAACCGGGTAACCACCTAATAATATAAAGTCGTGTATCATTGCTTACTATCGTGTCGAAGGTATTTGAAAAGCTGTCTCAAAAAGCTGCTCTATTCTGTCGAAGAGATTAAAACCACTTATAATTAGAAGCCCAACATTGCTGAGGTTTGCAGAATTAGAGGACCCTAGGAATTAAGAACACTGTTCAGGTTCGATTTTCCATGATATAGCTTAGGTTTTTAATAACGTTCGACACCACTATTACTTTACAAGTTAAATAAACTGCTACCAGCTCAATATCTACAACTCTTGGAATCTTACCTAACTGGACGATTTTTTTATAATTTTTTAAATAAAAGGGATTGAGCACAGGATGACGTAACCATAGAAACCATTCGCTGATGATACGACAATACTTGCTACTGGATTAATAGTACAAGAAGCACCTGATAAGTTGCAGAAAGCTAGTGACATAGTGTAGCAGTGAGCAACAAAATAGAAAATAAAACTCAATGAGCTGAAACTCACTTACTGGGTGTATGGTAGTCAACTGGAAGGACCCGTAAGCGATACCAACGTTAAGACTATGACCAGAAGTGGTAAAATAAAGTGATGCGAATTGCGGATTTACATAAAATCTTCAAAGTTCCTCCTTCCGCTTTTCATCCATTGTTTAATATATCGACTAACGTGATTCTCGACGCGAAAACTTTGTTATACAAAGAGATGGAAAATGATTAACTAGACAAAAACGTTCTATATGCACTTTTTATCGGCGTTTGTTTCTATTTATACAGTTTTCTACGATGACATAGCGTCAGGTTTATTTATAAGCTGACAGCAATCGATGTGATTAAGCTAGAGAAGGGTTGATATCAACGATGAAAGTAAACAAGGAATTATTCATTGCACTATAATATACAGGCTAATATATGCACGTTTATGTTGAACAGAAACGTTATTATATTTTCTCACTGAAGCATAATCGGAGTTATTCTAGAACATGGCAAACCAGAACTATTCTAGTAATCTATATGGCCCATCAAATAATACAATAAATCATTGAGTAATAATGACCTAATTTGTTCTATTGTATCCTATCAATATTATAAAATCAATAAAATAATGCTCAATCCATGCAACTTCATCAAACGAAATAATTTCAAGAAGAAATTTGACATTGACTTTAAAAAACTTCATCGAAATCTGGCTAAATTTAAGAATATCGCCGCAACTTCTATTTTTATCCTCGAATTTGAATCGAAGTTGAATATAAAATAAGAAACTGTATTGGCTGGTGGCATCGACATCAGCTTGATTTAGAAGCGGAACAATTCACGAGTAGTATTCGGGTGTTATAACTGCAATTTACTTGAACGACTTGACAGCTTTCGAGGAATATCATAATCTGGCCAATAAAAATCATAATGAGGCTTGAACCACAGAACCTTTGGTATAACCAAAAGCATTTATCAACCACCTGGCAGATATCTTCAGACCACCTAATGAAGCAAGCATTGATTTTTCAACGAGCATCAAGACAGACACTGAGAACATCGACTTAGTATCACCACGTGAAATTCACACCAACTTGAATCCTAAGATGGCCCCTAGATATAATCCCATCACAGCCAAAATATTCAAACATGTACCAAATTGCTGGAAAGTATCAGAAATCATCATCCTGCAGTAACCTAATGGTATAAAGTCGTGTATCATTGCTTCCTATCATGTCGAAAGTATTTAAAAAGCTTCTGTTGAAAAGATTAAAACCACTTATAATTGGAAGCCCAACACTGCTGAGGTTCGCAAAATTACAGATCAAATCGAGTAGATCCTAGAAAACAAGCAACACTGTTCAAGTTGGATTTTCCTTGATATACTTAGGTTCTTGATAACGTTCGACACCAAGTATTACTTGACAGGTTAAATAAAGAGCTACCAGCTCAATATCTACAACTCTTGAAATCTTACCTAACTGGACGATTTTTTAAATTTTTTTTAAAATAAAAGGATTGCGTTTTGACACTACTTGCTTTACGTGCGATTTGTCCAAACAGGATGACGTAACCATAGCAACTATTCGCTGATGATACGGCAATACTTGCTACTGGATTAATGATACAAGAAGCAGCTGATAAACTGCAGAAACCTAGTGACATAGTCTAGCAGTGAGCAACAAAATGGAAAATAAACCTCAATGAGCTGAAATCTTTTATTGGCTCCTGGGATGACATCAAGATGTCCACTCAAAACAATCTAATTGTGTAAAATCAGACTTACTGGGTGTATGGTAATCAATTGGGAGGACCCGTAAGTGATACCAACGTCAAGACTATGACCAGAAGTGCTAAAATAAGGTGATGCGAATTGCGGATTTACATAAAATCCTATATTACTTGGAAACACTAACCTTTACTATCTACTTACTGAAAACCATGGAATTGGCGCATAGCATGATTCCTCGTATTAGCGTGTAAAACCTTGGCTGTGAATGGACAAAGCATTGTAATTGTAAACTAGCATAAGAATTATTAACTGAAAAATGAAGGTAGGTCTAGTTTAGTGGTGGAACGGATATCCGGCCTATTCGGCTTTGGCCGGATATTAAAAATCTATATTTAGCCATTCACAGGAATTAGTGTCTTTTAGGTGTTAGACACTGCAGATAATAATCAAGTTCAACCCCAATAGAACTTTTTTCTTTGAATACAACTTTATTTATATCAGCAACCTCATTGTAACAATCTCAATACGACATATAAAATCTCTTGTTGCAGATTCGTCTAGTTTTCTTCTCTTCGCTTGTCATTCATCACATTCATTACTAACATAACTGTCGCTGTTATCACTTTCGATTATTAATTAAAGTATCCACTTTTTAATGCAAAAAGCCGTTTTGAAAAATCACTTTCAGTTCTTGAGAAATAAATTTTTGAAATAATCGACAATTTTTTTTGAATTTTCGCCGATTAAGTTTTAAAAATTCGTATAAAAGTCAGTTCTTGGAATATGAGTATGAAAATTTCCCAAAGTATCAATAAGAGTGTCCTCTTTCCAATGAACCAACAGGTTTTGAGAAATAACTTTTAGTTTTTGAGCAAACAATATTTGAACTTTTGATAAAATTTTCGATGTTGCAATTTTCATCGATAATTTTCAAAATTCGCTATAAAATTAACAACTGGAAGGATCCTTGTGAAAATATCACCAATTATTAATTAAAGTATCCTCTTTTTAATGCAGAAAGCCGTTTTGAAAAATCACTTTCAGTTCTTGAGAAATAAATTTTTGAAATGATCGACAATTTTTTCGAACTTTGCAATTTTCGCCGATTAAGTTTTAAAAATTCGTATAAAATCCAGTTCTTGGTATATGATTATGAAAATTTTCCAAAGTATTAATAAAAGTGTCTTCTTTCCAATAAACAAACCCGTTTTGAAAAATAACTTTTAGTTTTTGAGAAAACAATATTTGAACTTTTGATAAAATTTTCGATGTTGCAATTTTCAAAATTC